AAATCGAAAAATTATAATTTGACATTTAAATTATAATTTTTATGATCGATCAAAATATAAGGAAAATGATCATGCTATTTACAATTATAACTTAAAAAATTATAGGGTAAATTATACTAACGTTCTCTGATATTTGGTTTTATTACACGGACACCCCTTCACGTTTCCAAAATTACACCGAACTCCCTTGACATTGAATACTTGTAACAACTATACCCCCTCTAACTAACAGAGGTTAAAATTATTCACAGTTAAAACTGATGTCATCAACAATAATTTTTAAAATACCAAAAATACCCTTCAAATTAAGTTTAAGAATTCAAATAAATATTTTTCTTATTTTACAAATTTATCCAACTTCTCATTTATTTTTTTTAATCCATATATTTCATATATAAATTAAAATTTAAAATTTAACGCTAATATGTTTAATTTTTTAATCTTTTACATTAATAAGTTAATTTTTAATTTTTTTTGTTTATTAAATAATATTTGGGATTATTAGTACAATTTAAAAATTAATTATTTTTTAAAATCTTAATAATTACCTATCTAATTATACCATGTTAATTTTATTTTTATTTATTATTTATCTAATTATATAAATTCTTACTCCTACCACCCATAACCACTGGTCCACCACCAATTCCACCACCTAAACCCACCCATCACCACCAGTCCACCATCTGTTCCACCACCTAAACCCACCCATCACCACCGGTTACACTACCTAAACCCACCAAAACTTTCAAACCCAACCAGACCCACCACCAGCACACACACACACACGCCGAGACTAAAACCACAACCCATTGAAACCACCCTTGCTTCCACCACCACCTGAACCAAACCCATCATCAACCAACACTAATAAATTGCAAAAGTTAGGGTTTCAAAATTCACTTGCAACCACCACTTGCAAAATCCACCCATTACCACCGGTTCCACCACCTAGGATATCGATCACAGAGAGATAGGAGAGAGAGAGATGGAGATCACAAATCCTAGGTAAAGATTCATTCGTTGCGCCACTGGATGATGGTGAAATTAGGCGGTGGTGGTGGTGGGTGGGTGGATTTTAAAACCCAACGACAGTGGTTGCGCCGTTGAGTGTTAGCGCCCGTTGTTAGGGGGTTTGATACGTCTTGAGAGAGATGGAGATGCTGGGGGCTTTGATTCGTCGTGGAAGAGAAAATGTGTGTGAGGGGGGGAGGGGGTCAGTTTTCTAGGGAGGGATCAAGAATCTTGGGTCTTGGGTCTAGATCTTGGGTTTTAATGGGTAGTTAAGGTGAAGGTAAAATGGTTTTTTTGTTTTTGCAGTTAACGGCGTTCATTTTGTGGGGGTCTCGACAGCTTGTTCCTTCATCTGATGTTGCAGAGGAATATTACCAAAATGAAATTTGCAGACTGAGGATGCTATTTAAATAAATTTGCTTATTCTGAACAACAATGACTTACCTCTACCATGTTTCTTGATCATTGTCTTCTAGGCACTGGCATCTGTTTCTGATCAGGCTATGTTTGCAATGGTTTCTATTTTTTGTGGTTTTCTTCCTAATTTTTGGTTTGCTGCATAGTGTTCCTAAATACTTTGGACTGACTTTTGCAGTGGTAATGTATTATATTTACAGGTCAAAGGGCTTTCGACAGAAGAATTTGCTGCCCGCAATGATTTGGTTCTTGCACTACCTGATAGGATTCAAGCCATACCAGATGGGGCTGCAGGTGCACCTAAACAAACTGGAGGCTGGACAGCTTCAGCTTCTCGTACAGAAATCAAGTTCGATTCAGGTGATTGGTTCACTTGGTTCACTGATAGAAATTTTTACTTTCACCTATTTTGTTGTTCACTATGGGTCCCCCTTGTATCATAGATGGACGGTTTGATGATGAATATTTCCAGCAAACCGAAGAGTCAAGTCAATTTAGGCAAGAGTATGAGATGCGGAAAATGAAACAGGCATGTGTTTGTTTGTAAATGTGTATTGTTTATTTGGCTTGCTTCTGATTGGAGCAAGCATGCATGTCTTTGTAGTTATTTATATTGCATTCTTTGCTGTGGTTTCTGCATTTGCTCTATGATTATCTTTGATGGTATGCAGGACCAAGGTTTGGATGTCATAGCAGAAGGTTTGGATACATTGAAAAACATGGCCCATGATATGAACGAGGTTTGCTGTGTTATGCTTTGCTATCTGTTGCTTGGCAGTATAAATGGATGCTAATTCATGATGTTATGCAATGCTTGCAGGAATTGGATAGGCAAGTTCCTTTGATGGATGAGATTGACACTAAGGTCAGAGAATTTAACTTGTCCTCGTAATGTGTTTTGGAACACCATTTCATACATGGAACCCTCCCCTGCTTAATTATTTGCTGCAGCAAGATTTGTGAAAGTATTCACAGCTTGTTGCTTCACGTCTTACAGGTGGACAGGGCAACATCTGACCTAAAGAATACCAATGTTAGACTTAAGGACACTGTTAACCAGGTGATTGTACTGCGATGGATTTAACTCAGATTTCCTTTTTCTATGTAGCTTTACTCAAGCATATTTGTATACTGGGAATAATAGAGTCATGGTGTTGTTTCAGCTGAGATCGAGTCGAAATTTCTGCATCGATATTATCTTGTTGTGTATAATACTGGGCATCGCGGCCTATTTATACAAGTAAGTTCAATATCTCTCTTAATGTCTAGAAGAAGGTTTATTAAAGTTTTTGGAACCCTCCCCTACTTAATGTGTTTTGGAACACCATTTCATACATGGAAGGGTAAATAGCAAAATAATCGAAGAAGCATTCTGATCTTGTCTTGTGTTTTTTTGGGTGGGTTGTGATCTTCTTCATGGTCAGGTTGGCTTTAGTTTTTAATCTCACTTTTGAATCTTTTCAAAGTTTCTCATAACACAGTCAACTTCCATGCTTGTTTCGGTGTTCATTTTGTTTCCGTTTTTATTTGCAGTGTATTGAAGTAAAATGGTAAAATGGGCTATCGGATCTGTTACTGTGACAGTGGATTTGTCTGGTTTATTTCTTGCGTTCATTGAGGTCTTACTCTGAGCTTGAGTTTTGGTTTCCTTTGCTCTTCTAATGTTTTGCATGTCTTTAACTTGGAGAGTGCACTTTTGTCTTTTAAATACAAACATGGATACAACACGTCTCTGTTAATCATCTTGATTTTGCTGAGCTACAAATCGCTGAACACCACTTTTAGAGATTGGTTACTTGTTTAAAATTTGTTGATATAAGCTGAAAGACTTTCAGCAAAATTAAATTGTATTCACAGACAAATGATAACATCGGAAAAACTTTGGACAGCGAATCTCTTCACATTTCCAGGTTAGGATTGACATTGAAGCATGGCTTTGTCTACCCGTGGAAGTAAGTATTAATAGTGTCCCATTGGATCTACTCATTTTTGAAACGGGTGGCTTAAGGAAGAATCAATCTATCTAATTTCGTGTCGTGTTTATGTCATGTTAACGTGTCGCGTTATATTTTAACACCCTTACTTATAGTGGCTTGCTTGCTAAATAATTCAAATGACGTTCGCACTTTTTTATGGCTTCTTTGTTGAACCGTGATTTTGTAAAAGGTCATAAATTTAGAGGTTGTAAATGGGTTGGATTGGTTATGGGTTAGGTTAAAATAAATTTAATTTATTTTTCACTTGTATTAATAAATTTAATAAAAAAAAACACAAACATAATGGGTTGGGTTGACTGTGGGCCATGGGTCAGTTTGTGGGTTGACCATGGGTCACAGGTCATGGACTGGGTCACTGGGCACAGGTTGACCCATGGGTCACAAGTGCTCTATTAGTGTGTGTATTTTTGGTAT